GAACTCACTAAGGTCACATAGGCATTGATGGGATCAAGCCTACAACCAAGGTCTACTGACTCTTAGGCCACACACAGAACTTTTGTTGTCAAAATGTTTTTATTTGGAATTGGTTTTACATGAGTTGAACAGTAGAATCTTGGAAGATGAGATTTGCCTACATTCCTACAATAGCATATTATGTGAATAACCAACATAAAGTAATAAAAGGTATGAGTTTGTGAAAGAGTGGTTTAAAAATATAAAGCAGATTTATTCTTAATGGGCTTTTAAAAATTTAAACTAATACCTTACAACTGATTGCATTGAGGAAGATTAGATTAAGGAATAGAATTTTTTTGTTATGTTTCAGGTTCATGACCTTTTTTGAAGTCAATGCATGGTCTTAGAAAATATGATATTGCATATTATGTTGCATAAATAATCTATGATGGTATCTATGATACTTTTATTAGAGTAAATTAGGGTTTCTTAACCTCAGCATTATTGATATTTTGGGCTGAAGAAATCTTTGTTGTGAGAAGGCTGTCTTACACAGTAGGATGTTTAGCAGCATCCCTGGCCTCTACCCAGTAGCAACCAGCCCCCCTCCTCCTATGGAGTTATAATGACCCAAAATGTCTCCAGACATTGCCCAGTGTCCCCTAGGGGACAAATTTACCCTAAGAACCATTGGATTAGACTGTAGAATTCTGGTAATGAAGTCCCATCCATCAGATTATGCAAATTAAGAAAACCTTAATTTCTCAAATCTCTCTTCTGTGTTCTTATATCTCAGGCTTAAATATTATGCTTGTAAAGAATACCAGTAAAGCACTTGTAGACTTCTTATTCCTAGCACTTCCTTGAAATCCAGAAATAGAAACATTACTTGTTTTTCAGTGTGGAAAGACCAACTTTTTGTGGAGCATAATCATCAGATTCCCAATCAGGGGTTAGCAATTTTGTTAGCTCAAATGCAGTGAATAGGCATTAGCAATACTGGGGTTTATGGGAAGACTCTTAGGACATCTAGGCAAATCTCATTTAACTTTTATTACTCAAGTCCTGTTATAACCAATTCAAAAATTTATGACTGTGTCTTTCACTAATAAGCTTAAAGCATTAGCAAGTATGATGATTCAATGATGAGGAATAAAAGAATTCTAGAACTATTAATATAAATCAATCTAAAATTCTAAAATTGATTCCATTATTAGTACTAGAAGCTATTGTACTGAATTTTGCTATTATACTTAAATCTGGCTTTGAAGAACAGATTTAAAGAAATAGATAAATGCATTGATATATTTGGGAGTTCAGAGTGGATAAACTTAGAAGGAATATGCCATCGTATCTATATCTGGTTTTTCAGTCTCTAGATAGCCTCTGCCATTTATTGAGTGTTTACCATGGATAATTTATATGCATTATGCATTTAATGACTATAGAATCGTGATCATAAATCATCTAATCATACTATTTGTAGCTTTTATGAATTGGTGTTAATCTGCAGTTTAGATGAAATCTTATTATCAGACCTGTAAAGTTTTATTATAGTTTATTTCAACAAACTATTGCTTATTTATTGTCTCGGCCTAAAGTATAAATTCTGATCTCGAGTTTTTCTTTTTGTAAAATAAAAGTGCATTAGCCTTTTTATTGTCCCATTAATAACATGATTTTTTTCTTTTCTAAGCAATTGTTTTCTTAAAAACTTATGGGTCCTACTTATTTCTTCTCTGAGGTGTAAATCTGAATACATTCAAGAGAAGGATATACCATTGACTTTACAGTTTAGTGGTTGCTAAGCATTTATGTCCTAAGAATTTTTACATATCCTTGCGTCTGTTGATTTCCTCTTATTTCATTTTTTTTCCTTTACATTTAGAGAAACCTATGTGGAACAAGAGCAGGGAGAAAATGCAAATGACAGGAATGATAGAGCCATTCGAGTAGCAGCAAAATGGTACAATGAACATTTGAAAAATATATCAGCAGAGAACCAGCTGCAAGTTATCTTCATAACAAATGACAGGAAAAACAAAGAGAAAGCTGTAGAAGAAGGAATTCCAGCTTTCACTTGTAAGTCTAAATGTATTATAGAAGCAGTTAGTGCATATGTACAAATGTATATGAAAACTATTATCAGGGCTAGGGTCAGATGTTCACTTTATTATTTAATATTTTCATAGTTCTGTATAACTTCATGTAATATTTTTGCATTTTTTAATTTCTCAGAGTTTTTAAGCTAAATAAGTTGTGGTGCCCAGTACCTGTTAATTTTCCCCTTACTATTAGCAATTGTTTTAGCAATAAAAGCTCATAGATACACTGGACCCACTACCTCTACTTAGGCATGATCACATCAACAGATTTTTGGTTTTTGTTTTAAAAAAATTGGCAAACAAGATTATCCATGTTCTTTCATATCTAAGGAAAAAAAACTGCTTGAATTTATTAAGACTTATTTTTCAGGTGAAGAATATGTAAAGAGCCTAACTGCTAACCCCGAACTCATAGATCGTCTTGCTTGTTTGTCTGATGAAAGGGTATGTTTGAGTTTGTTATATTTTCTTTTTGAAAAGCAAAAATATTAAAATAGCCACTTTGGGATATTAGGTTTATAGTTACCAAGTTTAAAAACTGGAATATCAGTGGATAAGCTGAAATTGGAAAAGGTTTTGAGTTATATACAAGGATGACTGTATCAGGCTTATTGAAATGCCATTTCTAAATGAGTTGACTTTCTAAAATAGATATATCCCCAGCAACCTGAGTAGCACCTGGCACATGGTGGCACTATTTGGTTGATGAAAAAAAGAATGGAATCCATGCCTGATTTGTGAGTAAGTGGTAGCTGTTTGACAGTGAAGTGGCTGACAGTGGAGACAGAGAGCATAAAACCCAAAGGAAGAGAGAGGGGTGTCGTAAGATGAGGTATAACAGATAATGAAGCCTTAGAATTTATTCTATATGTAAGTTAGTAATTTTTCAAGTATCTTATAAAGATCTCCCTAAAGAGCTGGTATGAAGAGAAGAAAATAGCAGATAGGAGTCTAGCTCTCTACCTCATATGGTAGGCTAAGAGAAATTAAGACTGTATGAGTATGGGTGGTGGGAGCAGGGGATAATGATTAGAAATGGCATTATTATATTTTGTAAGACCACTCTAAAGTCAGTGTGTAAGGTGATGCATTTTATCAAGGGAAGATAGAGGCAGAAAGGCGAGTAAAGGGGTCACTGCAGTAGCCAACATGAGGAGTGCTAAGGGAATAATTAAACCCTGAGCCTTCCTTTCCCTATATATAAAGTGGTATAACAATAATGACTTCATAGCATTGGTGTGAGGATCAAATGAGATAATAACAGTATTAATACAGTTCTCATTTCAGCCTGACACATAGCTATGGTAAATGTAAATGGTAGCTTTTGTTACAGAAATAGATTTTATGTAATAGGACATTATACATAAATCCAGTCTTCACAGCATTTCTCTCATCTCTGCTTACCTTTGACCAGCTACTTTATGAAATCAAAAGGAAATGAGAAGATAAAGCCTGGACTTGATTTTTTGAATACAGATTTAGGATTGCCCTGCCTAATGTGCAGCCACTTAGTTGGATTTAGCTGTTTAAATTTACTGCATATTAATAATTCAGTTTCTCAGTTGTACTATCCATCTTTCAAATGCTTAAGAGAAACTTACGACTAGTGGCTACTATATTGGACATCACAAAAAATATTTCCTTTATCATAGAAAGTTGTTTTGGTTACGTCTGGTCTAGAAGAGACACTGTGCTATATCCAAATTCATAGAGTTGTATGTACCATAATGTAGATTTTTATAATTACCTGATATTGATGATAGTTGTATATTGAACAAATAGAAGATTTACTGACTGTATCTTTTGGTTTGCTTATTTCATAGAATGAAATAGAAAGTGGAAAAGTAATATTTTCAGAGCATCTTCCCTTAAGTAAGCTACAGCAAGGCATAAAATCTGGTACATACCTTCAAGGGACATTTAGAGCCAGCAGGGAAAATTACTTAGAAGCTACTGTATGGATTCATGGAGACACTGAAGAAAATAAAGAGGCAAGTGTGTAAATAAGTTCCTTAGACACTAAACTTCTTTTTAAAAATAAGTATTTAAAATTTTATAGGAGAATTTAAATATGCTTTATCTTCACAGTTTATCAGCTTGAAGGCAATTATATGGGAGATTGTAGATCCTAGTAGAACTAATCACTTTTTTAGAAAACTACTTATTGAAGAAAACAATTTTTTATTAGTCTACTTTAAAGAGAATAAAAATCTGGTCCTTCAAATAATAAAACATTGGATGCTATTTGTATATTACGACCAGTTATGGCAAATACTATTTGCATAACATATGCTTCACACCCTTTAAAGCAAATAGCAACCATTTTTGCATTGCTCACTGTTTGCCAGGTACTCTTCTCTTTACATTCATCATTTCATTTAATATTCAACCCAATCTATAAAAGTAGGATACTGTATTGTTTTTTTCATTTTACCAATGAGGACCCTGAGACTTAGAGAGTTTAAGTAATTTTCCCAAAGTCTCAGTATGATTGTAAGTTATGGTGGAACCATGAACACAAAACTTTTTTTCTGACCCATGATTTTTCTACTTGACATTGAAAAACTAAGGGTGTGCGATTAAGGAAAACTGTAAAGAAAGAAAAAGTATAAAGGAGGAGAAATAGAGATTACATAGAGACATTCAGAGTATATATAAACTTCTGTTAGGTGACCTTCCTACTGTTATATTGCCACTAAAAATATTTGGACATGCCATTTGTTGTTTAAAATAGATAATCATACAAGGACTTAAACATTTAAACCGAGCCGTTCATGAAGATATTGTGGCCGTGGAGCTTTTCCCCAAGAGTCAGTGGGTAGCACCATCTTCTGTGGTTTTACACGATGAAGGTCTGAATGAAGATGATGTGGAGAAAGAAGAGGAGAGAGAACAAATGGTACGAAACCAAACAGGTTTTATTTTTTGTCTGTGTAGCTTTGTATTATTAGGTAATCTGTCAGCTTTGGAGAAAGTTAAGTTTTATTGCTTTCAGATTTATTGAATAAAATTATAGTTCTGTAAGTTTAACACATGTCATAAACAATTGATTTTTTTCCCCTTCTAAGTATTTAAGTTTTCGTTTAAATTAATGTCTTAATTTGTTCAAATAAATGGGTTTAAATACAAAAAGACTGCTAATTTGAGTATGAAGCTGGAAATTTATGACTTTCGAATATGTGATCTAAGTTAGTGAGGTTTAAGTAAATATAAATTTAAAATTTTCTAAAATGCTTTATGTAATGTTAAAATCTCCCAACGTAATATATGTTCTTCTGGACCCTTTTATTTGGGCCTGTTTAATTATTCCTTCTCGGTTGCTACATTTATTGTGAAGAAAATGCTTTCAGTTATTTCTTAGGTAATGTTTTTGTTTTTGTTTTTAAGAAAGGGTCTTGCCCTGTTGCCCCAGGCTGGGGTGCAGTGGCATGATCACAGTTCACTGTACCCTCGAACTCCTGAGTTCAAATGATCCTGCCACTTTAGCCTCCCGAGTAGCTGGGATTACGGGCACACACCACCATGCCCAGCTAATTTTTTAATTTTCTGTAGAGATGGGATCTCGCTATGATGTCTAGCCTATTCTTGAACTCCTGGCCTCAAGTGTTTATCCTGCCTCAGTCTCCCAAAATGCTGGGATTATAGGCATGAGCCATCATGCCTGGCCCTTCTTGCTATTTTTAATAGCATATGCTTTTTATCTGGATTTTTATTTTGGATAAAGAAGAATCTACTTATCTTTTTTAATGAATTAATAAAAGTCCAAAGGGAACTAGTGACCATAACCACACAGCTAATTAATGTAAACTAGTATGAAAATCCTAGTCTACTAATTGCCAGACCCATGTGTGTGTTTTAGTCAGTAAATCCTCATATTAAATCTGAAATTAAATTTGCGTTCTGATATATTTATTCAGTTGTATTTATTTTTTCTTTGCTTTTTGTTTTTGTAGTATTTTATTATTATGGAACAATTTCCATGGTTTGGTTTAGCACATTTGTGTCTAGAATTTTGAAGCATCAACATTCCGTATTTTATGTCATAATTTACTGCCTGAATGTATTACCATTCATGTACATATTCTGATTTTGAAGTGAAATTGCCTCATTATACTTAGAAGAAAAATAACTAAAGATTTTTATTTTTATATCTCAGCTTAAGACTGCTGTAAGTGAAAAAATGTTAAAGCCTACAGGTAGAGTTGTAGGAATAATAAAAAGGAATTGGCGACCATATTGTGGCATGCTTTCCAAGTCTGGTATCAAGGAGGTGAGTAAAGAGCACGTTACTATGTAATAAAAAACGATGAACATTTCTTTTAAGCTTATGTTCTTCTGGAACCACTTTAATTATTGTAACTCAGTTCTAACAGAGGGTATCACTACGAAAATGCTAGACAGTAGAACAAAGGCAGCTCACAAAGACTTAGACTGGAAACTTCAACAGCCTGGATCTTTGGTACTAAGTCATTTTCCCATGCATGCACGTATACATAAACACACACGGAGACACATACAAATATGTATCTTACTCCTTTCTGCCCACATACTGGATCAGGCATTTGCACTGATCTGATTTTCTTTCTCCTTAAAAAAAATGATAAACATTTCAAAGACTTACAACCCTCCCTTTGCCTCCATCCTTAGATTTTTTTGTGTGTGAAATCTTTTTTCCTAATTTTCTATAGTCAAGAAGACATCTCTTTACACCTGCCGATAAGAGAATCCCTCGAATTCGGATCGAAACCAGACAGGCTTCTACATTAGAAGGACGGAGAATTATTGTTGCCATTGATGGTTGGCCCAGAAATTCCAGATATCCAAATGTAAGCTTAAAGTATTCATTGTATTTTAAGATATTGGTGCCTTTAATTAAAATAAAATCTACTTCTACAAAGGATTTGTACTGAAACTTAGGATATGTCACAGTTACCTGATGAATAGCATTCTAATTTGAAAATTAATTTTATGGAATTCCAGTGTAAATCATATGATTCCTTTTTTTTTCCTTCCTTCCTTCCTTCCTTCCTTTCTTTTTTCCTTTTTTTCCTTTCTTTTTTTCTTTCTTCTTTCTTTTCTTTCTTTTTTCTTTCTTTTTTTCTTTCTTTTTTCTTTCTTCTTTCTTTTTTTTTCTTTCTTTTTTTTCTTTCTTTCTTTTTTCCTTTCTTTCTTTTTTTTTTTTTTTGAGACAGAATCTCACTCTGTTGCCCTGGCTAGAGTGCCGTGGCGTCAGCCTAGCTCATAGCAACCTCAAACTCCTGGGCTCAAGCAATCCTCCTACCTCAGCCTCCTGAGTAGCTGGGACTACAGGCATGTGCCACCATGCCCGGCTAATTTTTTTTTCTATATATTTTTAGTTGTCCAGCCAATTTCTTTCTATTTTTTTAGTAGAGACGGGGTCTCGCTCTTGCTCAGGCTGGTTTCGAACTCCTGAGGCCTCCCAGAGTGCTAGGATTACAGGCGTGAGCCACCACGCCCAGCCTCATGTGGTTACTTTTACTCAAATTTCCAAACAACTTTTATAGATACCAACTGTGAAAAAAGTGTTTGAGTTCTACATGGATTCTAACAACTTTTGAAGGACATTTTAAACTGGAAAGTTAATAGGAAATAGATGCTTTTAGATTTAAGAATTGAGCCTTTTTGAAGTCTATCATAAATTAGTTGAGATGTCTTGTCATTTTGACCTTTAACTTACGAAAGGGTCATTTTTAAGAGGTTGTTAGGGAACATGGAGAAATAGGGAGGCGATATATAAATGCTGAAGAATTTAATATAAAATGTAAATTAGCTATAAAATTGGCCTTTCTAATAATAGTTTTTGGTTTTAGGGACACTTCGTAAAAAATTTAGGTGATGTTGGAGAGAAAGAGACTGAAACAGAAGTTTTATTACTTGAGCATGATGTTCCTCATCAGCCTTTTTCACAGGCTGTTCTTAGCTTTCTGCCAAAGATGCCTTGGAGCATTACTGAAAAGGTAAGTTGAGAAGAATTCTTAGTGCCCTTGTAAGTTATTACATCCTAGCTAGTTTTGCATAATTTCTGTATGTATTTTTAAATATGTAGAAATCGCAGTCCCTCCTCCCCTGCATTTAGTTAGGTAAAGCACTGTTAGATATCACAGAAATCATTTGCTTCTTTAATGAAAGCTAAATTTTTCTGAGGGGCAGACACTAGCATATATCAAATATTTTAAAGGCAGAGAAACCACCAGTTACAAATGATAATATGTGGTTGTCATCAAGAAGATAAAACTAGGTTTTTTATACAGATATTATTGATTTCAAAAGAGCTGTGTTGGCAGTCATAGTGCTGAAATAATTTATTTCTTTATAATGTGGCATCTTCTAGGACATGAAAAACCGAGAAGACCTGAGGCATCTGTGTGTTTGTAGCGTGGACCCACCAGGATGTACTGATATAGATGATGCTCTACATTGTAGAGAACTTGAAAATGGAAATTTGGAGGTATTCAAATTGTAATGATTTCTTACCTAATTATAGTTCTGTTCTCGAGTTCATTTTCTTTTGACCTGATTAGAATTTGTTTGTGAATTACTCAGGTGAAGTATAGTTATAGCTGCAGAAACTAATGGGCATGTGTCAAAAGTTGAAATGGTAGATGTGACTGAGTTGTTTTATCAATGTAGCTAAATTTCTTCTCATTAAAACTTCAGTGGTACACTTACCAGATTAAGCATAATGACACCCTTTCATTATCTTTTTAAGGTTGGTGTTCATATTGCTGATGTTAGTCATTTTATTAGGCCAGGAAATGCCTTGGATCAAGAATCAGCCAGAAGAGGAACAACTGTGTATCTTTGTGAAAAGGTAAATGAGTTGAATTTAAAATTTTTTAACAGTCGTGCACAATTTTGAATTCTTGAACAGTTACGGTTTGAAATAGTATTAATTAGCTGGAGGAAATAAATACATAGAATAAAGTGGTTTTAAATCCCTGAAAATATTGAAAATTTTTGTTATTAGGTGACCTAAATAAGTAAAGATTGGTCCCCATAAACTTAACTGAGAAGAATTATGAAAGTAAAGGGGAAAGTTAAGCTTTTTTCTGTTTTTCTCTGTAGCTTTTTTCCTTTAAAATCCAGTTTTTCTCTGTTTTTAGTACTTTTAAAACACCATGTAGTTAGTGTTAAACACTGGAGAAAGGTCCATTCATTGAGCTGCTAGGGCTTATGTCAGTTATTAAGTACAAACTTATACAGACCAGAGATTTAAAACTTCCAGAGGATAGCAAAATGGTTAGTATAGAGGATTTAAACTTAGATACACTGGCATGAAGTCCAATTTTCTTTCATAGCTTTCCTTTTACAACAATTTTGTATAGGTGCTTTTCTGGTAACAGACTTTTAGATATTTTCTTATTTTCCTATTCACAAAGACTAGAACACTCCTTTTTTTTTCCTATTAAATTAAAGCTATTTGTGCTAGGTGAGAATAGAATCTCAAATACATGTGTGGATATAGCTTAGTAATCTTTGACTTATTTTTATATTTTACAGAGGATTGACATGGTTCCAGAGTTGCTTAGCTCTAACTTGTGTTCCTTAAGATCTAATGTTGACAGGTATTTATGCATGTTTTTTCATAAGAACATTGTGTTTACTACTTTGATTCCCATTAATCAGTACTGTCTTGTTTTCCTTCATAGGCTGGCATTTTCATGTATTTGGGAAATGAATCGCAATGCTGAAATCTTAAAAACAAGGTTTACCAAAAGTGTCATTAATTCAAAGGTTAGTTTCATGGTTATCGCCAATGTTTCAAATCTTTGTTACTTTCAAGTTTCCTAGATTGATTTGAAAAAGTAAGGCTTATAAGGTTACATTTTTCTCCATTGTTACAGCAAAATCTATTTTTTTGTTAGTTATCTGCTTAATTATGTTATTCAGAAAATAGTTTATGTGGTAGTTGTCTTGTATTCAGAAATTTATAAAGCCTATATATTAGAGAAGACCAAATAGATGATTTTATACCCTAACTCAGGAACCCCAGTGATTGAAGTTGTTCCTACTTATAAATGGTTAGTGGTTTAGCATGTACATCATCTTCACATTTTCTCATAGAAATGATGTTATAAATCGTAGTCGGATTCCAGTAGAACTAGCCTGAGATTGTGCTCAGACTGAAGTGGAGCCAGATTATCTTTCTCATCCTTTTCCTTTTTTTGTACTTCTCCCCAGAATCCTTTTTGTTCTCTTCATTTTGCCCTAAATCGTTGTCCAATGTTTACTAAACTCCTTATCTTCTATTGATCTGTTTTCTAACTTGTCTTTTTTCTTTCCCTTTAGCATCATTCTCTGTTTTGATAACTAGTGGTTGGAAAGAAAACAGCATTAGACTGACAAATAGTGATGGGTTAATTATCTTGGCCTCCACAAATTTATATTTTTAAATAAGAATGAGTTTATAATTTTCTCAGACTTCGTCAGCATAACAAAAGTACATGAAAACAATTTAGTGCATGTATAACATAAACCATTTTTTTTTTTTTTTTTGAGA